ACTTCAAACAATCTTTTCCTGTAGTTACAATTAAAAGTGCATGTATCACATTGTGCATCTAGTTAAATACACATTTGCATTGGACTTGTTTGCTTTTACACTGTTTTGCATTTTGAATACTGATTCTAGACATCTTAACTCATCTGTGTTATCAGTATTTACGCAAACCTGAGAGATTCAAGCATGGATTACTGCAAAGAAAGGAATAAACTTCAAGAATAAAGTATTATTTAGTCAAATGCCCCAGGCAGAGTTCAACATAAGTACTGCCAGAACATTGTTGTATAATATAATGCTTTACGCTTATAGTTTGTTCTTCCTTGTTCGACTGAAAATAATCTGCTCCATGAATCACTAATGTGCATTCAAGATTGAGTGGTTGTTTTTTGTGCTTACTTGACCGCACCCACCGCTCCCATACTTAAACACTGGCACACTAGTTTCTCACCTCTGTACCTTTGTGGGAGAGGTCTGCATTCTTTTTCATTCTTCCCCAACTTTTCACATGCACATGCCTTTAATTTCTACCGTGGTGTGGAATTTACTCTAAAAGCTCAACTAGCTGCTGCCCAGCTGTGATTCTGAGAAAATGCATGTTCCACTCTTGTATCTCACTGAATTCAAACAGTTGCATTACAGTCAGTTAGAGACCCGGGGATTATGTTACCTGCATAAACAGATCAGTTTCAGTGCTGTCTCTAATGCTGTGCGGTATTTTCACAGCAATTCTCAGCGTGCAAACTTGAGTGCCAATAAGTCAACCCACACAGTAGGAATCACCAAACAGGGTGGGGCCCTGGTATCTGGTCCAAACAATTGTTTCATTGAGATATTTGATAAACAGGAATTAGGAGTGGTGCAGTTCCAGTAGAAAAGCAAAGACAAAAATAAAAAATTCAAATAAAATCTTGGTAAATGTAGCAACAAAGTGATCACGACAGATCACTATCGCTATACGTTTTGTCTGTCCTTGTTTAAAATGTCATCAGTCATGACCCATCACACAATTAAATTTTGTCACACAATTGTCACAATTAAAAAGCTCAAGCTGGTCAAGTCTGAGTAATCTGAAGTGCAAAACCCAAAACACTGAAGTCAGGCTTCCTGTGAAGATGTATAAAGCCTTTAAAATGAGTTAAAATGTGTCAGTGTTATTTCTTTTGGGCTTCAAGAACTGTGACCAACTCTTTATATGTGTCCAGGCTCCAGTGTTTACTCTAAAAACCTGTCTCCACCCACTCTGAATGGCTTTCTCGTGCCTGTCTTACATACTTGTGAAGGAACAAACTATCAGAGCATAGCTCAGTAATTATGGGGAGTTCAGTAACAGCGCCTTTCCAGCTGCACACCTGACTGACGGAACATGTGATAGGCTGCAAGTTATGGTTGAATAAAGGTCTCAAAACATTTAAAAAGTGCCATTGTGAAGTGATATAATTTTATATCTCATAAACAAAAAAAAACTACGGCACATAGTATAACCTAGTTTCTGGAATTCCCTTTTGTACCACTGTAGTATGTGTGACCAGGGTGTGGACAGTTTTACACTGTGAAGGTGTGGTTTGGTAGGCTATGCCTCTTCATACTGACTTTTTCAATAAGGAATCAAATGGAGTGAATGAAACCTATGTTCAATCTGTGAATGCAGTGCACGTTTTGAGATGAGTATCTAACTAGTACTGTAAGTTGCATTGCTGTATCCCATTTAAGGCAACGCATTTTACTCTTTCTCTCAACATACTAACAAAACTGAACATTTATGTTCAGGCTGGGGGAGTTGATTTCAGAAGTTGTTCCCACCTCACCACATTGAAACATTTTATTAGGATCACTTGGTGGCACATGTTAACTAATAGGTACAGTACGCTGCTGCATGGTTAGGACAACAACTACATCCATAAAGCAGCATCTAGGCAGATGAGGTGGCATAAAATTTGAATCTGAGTATTGCTACTTCCTAGTCTTACTAGATACAACAACATGTTCATTTTCTACATTATGATCCCTATTCAAGTCAAATATATTAAAAAATGAAATGTTTCAGGTTGTAATTGAAAATCTGCTAAACATGCAACCTTCTCTGTTTATTACTCATGTCCAGTTCAAAGAAAAGTTTGGTAGTAAAAGTGAAGCACAAAACAAGGAACTCCACTTCTGAAGAGCCGAAACGTTACCTGCATTTTCTTTTTCTTGTTAATGTGATCTAAACTTTCCATTGTTGTTTTGAAGCTTAGCCTCTGGCCTTGCCTCTAGCTGCAGAAAACCTGCTGAGCAGCTATGCCTTGCATCTTGTTAGTTTGAACTCAGTTCTTTTCTTAACGCACTTAACAAATTGCATTCTCTTTCGTCAAGCTGGAATGGACGCTCATAATTATTTTGTCGCTCCTTTTAATAATTAAAACAATTGCTGCTCCTTTTACTTTATTTACTTTTAGTTTATCAGATCACTATATCTGTCCACTGTGGGTGAGATAGTCATCTTCGTGTCTGATGTGACTTTGGGTGGAGTACATTCCTGTCAAAATAAGCAGGTTGTGAAAGTCTGATTAATAAGTCTAATCTTTACA